ATTATTATTATTTATTCTTATTATAATTATTAAAAAAAAACCGAAAAATGTCCGGCCGGCTCGCGACCGGCCGGCGGTTCCGGACGCCCGGAACCGGACAATGAGAGAGCCGTCCGGTTCGGCCGACCGGACAGATTTTGGTCCGTCCGGAACCGACGGCCGGCCGGTTCGACAGGTTTTTAAAAAAATTTTAAAAATAGTTCGGGTAAAAAAAAAAAATTTACCTTGTTGGAGAAGAATCCTTTGCCGAGGCCGTAGAAATTTTTCGACATTTTTTTAGATTTTTTTTGATGCTCGAATCGTTTGTTGAAGTTCGGAAATTTAGAGAGATGGAAAGTTTAGAGAGATGAAATCAAAAAAAGGGTTAAGGGCAAAAGAGTAAATAGGGGGACGGTGACTAGTAAAAGGGGGCGGTGAATAGCGATTGAGTTTTATTTTCAAACATTTATTATAACCTAAGAGTTTGAGATTTTATTTCAAGGTCCATTCCATTAAAGAATGTTACTTAATAAATATTAAAAAGATGACCGAAAAGACATGAAAATGACATCTTGGAATGTTCATGTCCAAGTAGCCGATTGTTAGAGGGTATTTTAAATGAAAATTAAAATTTATTATTGCAACATATATTATTTTATCTATTCTCTTCCCTCTACATCTTAATAAAGGAAAGTTATGGGTCTTCTACATCTTACACGTGGCGGCTCCATCTATCTCCTTTTGCTATGCTTATCATATGGCCCAAATGAGTGCGTATTTAATCCTTCATAATTTATTGCACTGCATCTAAAAGTGGGAAACCTCTGTACAATTATAAGGACACATGTCTGCAAACAAAATACATTTGAAATTACTGAAATGCCACTAAAAGGCAAGTAAATCTCTCTCTTACATATAAGAAAAAGTGTGAGGAATTGTAGGCGTGACACGTGGCTTATTTTTTTGCCCAAAATACCCCAGTTTTTGCCAATTTTTTACACCTGCTGCCCGTGCATTATAACTTTATCAGTCTTTCGGTCAAAGTGGAGTAGAATGAGGGCATTTCTTCCTTTTGCTGGATTTCTGCAGGTCAGAGGTAGAGGCCCATTCTTTACTGGCTTTTGCACGTCTTCTCTGTCACCGAAAAGACGCCTTTTTTTTAGGCTTTCCCATGTCTTCCCCTGTTCATCCATGGCCGAAAAGACAAAAAGGAGAGGAGAGCTCTCAGTCTTCGTCATTTTCCAAACCCTAACCAAATACATTCTGCTTTTTCTTCAACTCGTGGCGCCGTCTCCAAAGTCGACGGTTCAAGTAGCGTCACCTTCACATCTCCACCGCCGATGGTTCCGGTGGCGTCATCTCCACCACGACTCCACCTCCGACGCGCGTGTTTCCACTAAAATCTTCCCGGACAGTGCCGCCTCTGAAAGTCCTACCTACTTTGATGGCGAGCACGAGCCCTACTTCAAAATGAAATAGCCCCTTTCCGACCAAGAGAGCAACACTGACGAGGTGTCTCTGGAAAAAGAGGTACGATGAAATAATTTTTACTTCAAAATATAATTAGATTTTCTTACCCCATCGGCAATTGTTTCTCTATCATCGCCTAGCCAAAACCTAATTTCTTTTCTCATACCTACGCACATGAATGAATGTATGTGAGCGAAAAAAACAATGACAACAGGGGGAGACCCGCTGGGGAGGTGAGCCGACGAGAGATAGAGAGAGATTGAGACCTGGCGGGGCGGCGAGTGACTTTGAGATAGAACGACCCACGAGTAGGGAATTCGCTTCATTCCGGCGCGGGGATGCATTTCGATAGACATGCCTGAACATTTTGGCTTGTTTATGCCATAATCAAATTGTGTGTAGGGGGTTCAAACAACTCTGAGGCCTTCCTTTGTCTTTGATTTTTTTTTTCTTTTCTGGTTTTTGTTGCTTCTTGATGATTTGACCGGGTGTAATTTGTTTGTATTTTGTAGGACGCCTTGATTTTTTGCTTTTATTAGACAGCCCGCGTTAGTAATTTTGTATTCGAGAAGTTACAAAGTGAAAGGAACATAGGTAATGCAATGGATTTCAATTTCACAAAAGTTTGAATAACATTAAGGAGACATTTGAAATCCAATAATTTGAGTTTTTAGCATAACATGCTTGGATGTCCCAATGGATTTCAAATAATTCCCACTATATCCCTCCCAAAATCCTCAAGCTGAATGTAGCCTCGATGCTTACAACTTTATTGTACTTATATGTATCACTGCCATTAGATATTTAACCTTTTCACTTTTGGTAACACAGGATTTACCTCGAATTTTTCTGGTCATCCTGCTGTAGATGAGGATGGTAGAAATGCTTTAAGACGGTTACTTACTGCCTATGCTCGGCATAATTCATCTGTCGGGTATTGCCAGCTACTTCTATCTACGGGATAACACACTTATGTTGTATTGAATATTGTGTGGAGATATGACTTCATCTAATTGTCTGTTGATTTTTTATTTTTCAGCAAGAGTTGTTTTTGTAGTGAATACTTTCTTAATCTTCTCAAAAAACAGTATGTTGATGATTGAGGATGCTCGGATAAGCGTTTTTTATTTCATTTTTTTTTTTTTACATTTGTTTGTGTTAGATATAAAACTTTGATAAGTTCCTGGATCATTCATGCAGGCAATGAGCTTCTTTGCAGGGTTATTGCTACTGATGCCAGAGGAAAATACATTTTGGTCGGTTATTCTCTCTTTTTTTTTTGTTCAGTAGTAGCCTTTCGTCTTTTCTTTTTGTTTTTGGTCGTTTTCTAAATTAGTGGTTCTGTGGGTCCAGTCTTAAATTTCTGGGTATGGTATTGTCAATGACAAGAATGGTAAAAATAATATGAAGGAATTGTTTACTTGTTTGATGGGTCCTTGAAGTCATTAGACTTTTAACAGAATCTAACGAATTCATTGACTTACAGGACTTTAGTGGGTATTCTAGATGACTATTTTGATGGATATTATTAAGAAGAAATGATAGAGTCTCAGGTAAACTTGGATTTCATTTGTGAGATGTTATTTTACATCTGCCCTCTTGTTACATACAAAGACATGAGATACTTTCTTTGAGCGCCCCATGGCTCTACAATTTATTATCTATCTTTCTGAAATAAAGGAAGGTGTTCAAAAGGGTGGTACTCAACTGAAATTTGTATTGTGTAACTCTGTCTTGGCAGGTTGATCAACTTGTTCTTGAGGAGCTGGTGCGCGGAAGATTTCCGAAACTGGGTTAGTTTCTTAAGATATACTTCTGTTATAAATCATTTCCCAAAGAGATGTCTTATTATTAGTTATTATTTCTGCTCCTTAGCTTGTTTGTGTCGCAATGAATCATCTTGATNTTTTTTTTTTTTTTTTTTTTTTTTTTTTTTTTTTTGTCGTAGGCTGATAAATTAAGCTTCGGAGGATAATTAAATTTTCTTTTGGTATTTATGCTACTGTAAAGTGCATTGGTGTGTGAAGTTATTTTGAGATAGTATGAGTGACTTTAGGTTTGTCTTTTGTCCCATGTGCCATTTTGTAGAAAAAATAGAATTTGATATATTTCGTGACTACCTAAGTAGTGCATGAAGTTACAGCAGTTGCTTTGATGTGCACTCTTTGAAATATTAAGAGACTATACATTTGACATGCCAAGAGGTTATGTAGATTTGTTCGGTTTGAGGACATAAAAAGTATATAGCCATAGGATGATAATGTTGATCTTGCTACTAAGTCTCGGTCTGAAAAGTGGAAGAATTGCATTGCATTTCTTATCTCTCCGCATTATAATGCATTTCTTATTATGTTCTTAAGCTATGCTAAAGGATGTTGGACTGAGAAGTGGAAGCATTACACTGCATTTTTTTTTTTTTATCTTTGCATTATAATGCATCTCTTATTATGTTCTTCAACTTGAAAAAAGATGCCGAACTATATCAAAGATTAATCACAAAGTGCCTTAAGCTATCTTACGAAGCTATAAAAATCTATATTATATGTTGTTATATTTACAAAAGTCCAAACTATGTGGAAGGGATATTTGTGAAGAAAATGTGAATCCACATGGGCATGGTTGTCATATCATTTGTTTTTTGTGTAAGGTACATAAATGTAGATTATTCTCAGTATCATGTTTGTCTTCTATGATAATGTATATTTGACGATGTTGTTCTTCTACTGCTACAGTCTGACACAGTGTGTGTGTATGCAAACCAAACTACTCTTAACATGCTACAAACAACACCAGGAAATCTCCAAATGGGCACTCTACAGAGGTTTTTTGTTGACTCTAATATTTCTCTAGCTCCTGTATTCCAGACTGTAATACTGCAGGTATATTTCAGATAGCTCAACTTAGATTATTAATGTCATTCTAATATTTAAGCAATGGTAATTAGTATAAAGTGTTAAAACTCCCCTCCCCTATTTTTTTCAGCATTATTTTAATTACTATTGAGATAATACTCTTCAAATATGCAACGTTCTGAATTTCAGGAGTATGCTTTTCTACCACCTGGACGCTTTGAATCTGCAAGAAATCGTGCGATTTTTTTGTAAGCAAGATTTAGTGTTGCAGTTGTTGCCTCCAGGTGGGTCTTTTAATGGATCTGCATTGGCCTTCATAAACTTTTTCTTTATCTGATAAGTAAATTAAGCTCTGTATTCTTTAGATATTTTAAAAAAATAATAATAATAATTTTCATTTAGACGACGGGAGGGTTTGGATTGCTATTACTGGGAATTAATTTTGATGGCACTACATTGTATTCATGGTTTTTGTTCTGGCTTTGAATCACCAGGATTAGTTTTGATTTTAGTTTTGATTACCCTACTCAGTATTGACTGGCTTGAGACTTTTTTAATTGTTTCTTGTTGTTTTGATGTAAAAGAAAACAATACCATTTTTGGAAACATAGACAAGAGCCAAGAGGTGACATTTCTAAAAAGTTTCTTTGTTTACTGGTGAGAATACTCTGAAAACTTCTGACTTAACTAAAACACATTGCATAAATATTTATCAATTTTACACAAACAATAATTTCTTTAAAATTTTGATGAGAAAAAAAAAAGAGTCAAACAAGTATGACCATTTAAACCGTAATATTATCCGCGTTTTATACGCACAACAAGCAGTGACGGAGCCAGGATTTTCACTCAGGGGGGTCCAATTTTAAATGTTAAATAACGAGTTTATAGTTTAAGTAAAAACGCGCATTTCATATAAAGTTGTGTTTACTTATAAATACAGTGTATCATCAAATTTTTAAAAACTTAGAATCCGTATCACCGGTTGAGGTGATACGGATATTCGAGATAGGGTCGGGGTGGCTCCAATTGAGGAGAAATTGGTCCAACATCGGCTGAGGTGGTACGGACATGTCCAACGGAGGCCTCCTGATGCACCGGTGCGTAGGGGAGTTCTACAGCGGGTCGATGATGTAAAGAGAGATAGAGGTCGGCCTAAACTCACTTAGAAAGAGTCGGTTAAGAGAGACCTTAAAGATTGGAATATCTCCAAGGATTTAGCGGTGGATAGGAGCGCTTGGAGGCTAGCAATCCACGTGCCAGAACCGTGACTTTTGCTCTTTTCTCTTTTTGTTCCAATCCCTTCCTTTTGTTTCGAGCCCTTTTTGTGTTTCTCTTCCCATTGTTTCTCTTGAGTTTCATCTCTAGCCTACCCCCACTTGCTTGGGACTAAAGACTATGTTGTTGTTGTTGTTGTTGTTAGAATCCGTATCACCCTCAAACTTTTTTTTTAAGGCAAAAAAAAAGAGTTCGTGTATTTATAATTTAAGTTTAAGATCTATAATTTATGGGAAAAAAATAAGTTTTTTTGTTCAAAAATTGATTTACATTGAACTTTTGCAACACATTGCATAACATTTTTTGTTGATGAGAATTTATTAAATGACCATTTCATTAGTAAAAAAATAAATAAAGTTGAAAATATGTGATTACATAAAAAAAGTAAAAAATCATCATTCAATATTCAATCGATCAACATTAAAAAATCTAACAGTCCAACTAAATTCTAGGTTTTTACAAATCATTAAATTGATTTACAATTAAGAGGCCGAAAAGTAAATTATTATATCATTTTCAAAAATATATCTAGAAATGTAAAATATAAAGATTGTTAGTATATTTTTTAATAAATAAATAATATTATTATTTTAAATTAAAATAGCATTGAAAATAAATTTTAATTATTTATATATTCTACATGTTTTTTTATATTTTTATTCATAGTTTATAGTATTTTTTATTTCTATATAACTATGTATATAACTATATATATATAATGATTTTTTAAAAAAATTGAGGGGGGGTCCATGGCCCCCCTGGACCCAATGTAGGTCCGTCATTGACAACAAGTATTAAACCATTATAACCACTACACCCAAAACAAAACTAAAAAAAAAACGATATATTAGCAGAGAATACATATAATTGTTAACATTGTGTGGCTATAAGATCTCAACTGTCGTATGGTGAGTGAAAAAAAATCAATTATGTAGACAACATTTAAACCCAAAGTATTTTAAAAAAATGGGCGAAACAGTTATGCATACACTGGATATGCACTTGACTCCTTACATTTCAATTATATCAGTATAAATTCAATTGATTATTTCAAATAAATCCAAATTTTATACTTCAATTGATTATTTCAAATAACGGCAAATTTTAAGTCGATTATAAACTAAATTTGAGTCGGCTGTGTGCATTTTTTCTTACATTTATACTTGCAAAAAAAAATGGGTACGTGTATTTTTAAATATTGACAAATATTGATTATAATTATAGACTGGACTAGAGCTGGCTGTGCGTGCACAGCCATCCGGCCACCTAGTTAATAAGATATGGATATAAGTTGGAAAATTGAGGGTTTCATTAATAAGATAAATATTAGTATAACAATACTCTTATGAGTTCATACAAATTTTATACTTAAAAAAGAGAAATTTTTATTTTAAATTATTGGGTGATAATGAAATAATGACTAATAAATTTAATAATGAAATAATGACTAATAAATTTAATAACTTTATATATCAAACCACTCATATGATATGAGTTGGAAAATTAAGGATTTCATCAGCATGCCACGTGACTAAGCCACAATTTTCTACATGTTTTGCCTGACAATAAGATCATTTTGGAGCCTTGTTATTTGTGCTAAGTTTATTTATTTATTTATTTATTGGATTAGTATTTAATTTTTCAACTTGTTTTTAAAAGGACTTGACCTATCTACTTTTATGCAAAGTGGCCCATCACTAGCTCTCTCATGTACAGTTTTGGGATATTTTTTTTTTATGGGATATTTTTTCTTTTAATATTTAATATTTTCAATTTGTTACTAGATATTTTTTTATTATCTTAAAAAATTTTACACCAGCCTTAAACGTGAATAACTTTGGATATGAGAAACCATTTTTCACTTTTCAGTTTTCGTCCGTAAGTTCCTATTCATTTGTTGGTATATCATAATTTATTTAATGGTAAGTATGTTATCTACTTTCAAAAGAAAAATGTATCGTCTTTAAAAGGAAGTTGTTGTAAGTAATTGTTTCTCAATAATGAGATGTTATTATAAATTTTTAACACACTTGAAAAAATATCTCTATCTATTACAAAATAAGTTGGGAGTCCGTACGTGCTGAAAATTGAGCTAATTGGCGGCCCTTTGTTGTCAAACTAATTACACAAACAAAACAAATAGTTTGTAAACCACTTAATTAGTGTGGAGGCTGTTACGACAAATTGGTCATCACAGAAATAATGTTTGACCAATTATGTTTAATTTTGAAGACTAAAAATTGTGTTTTCACAGTCTTGCGAGATCAATTTTTTGTCATATAATTTGCTTATTTTATCAATGATTTTAGGTGTGTTTGTGAACATAAGTTCTTTGACGGTCGTGTTTTTATGCAATTTTGGATCCATTTGTTTTGAAATTTGACAGTACCGTCTTCAAACATAAATACTTTGGTATTATGGGTTGGTTGACCAAGAGATTCCTAGTATATATATCCCTCCCTTATATATTAATTGAGAACGTGCTGAGCCTATGTGGCAGACTGGCATGCTTCGGGATCTTGTGGCAAAAATACATGCTTCGTTATTAGGCTTGGGTAGATTTAGTTTACTTCTAATTCAAATATATTTAAGTTCGGATTATCTATAATATATTAATTATTTATGGTAAGGGTGGGCGCCGGCTGGGACGGTCTTGAATTTGACTTGTCCGGATATCCATCCCACTTTTATGAATCGGTTCATGAAAGAGGCACCGTCGCCACCCATGTAATACATGGGTGTTGTACTAGTTATATTATATTATATATATATATAAAAAGAAGGCTATAGCTTGACGCGTGGCAGGGGCCTTCTAAACGCTGACGTTTTACCAGCAAACGACGTCGTCTTGGGCGTCATTAAAGCGATGTCGTTTGCCCTCTGCAAACAAACGACTTCTTTACCATTACCTGAAAATTCTTTACATCGACTTCTTCGATTTTCATCTCCCTCATATTTCTATGGCCGCAGGCCTTTGATGTCGATCTATTCCATGCCCTTTTAATTTTTTTTTTTTTTTTCGTTANTTTTTTTTTTCATCGATACTGCCGTGTACGGTGCCAGTCGCTGCCCCAACATCCCAACCTGCGATATCATCTCGCCAATCAGCAATTTCATAAAATTCCATGCGGATCTCAAAAGGTACTGCAAAACCAAACTGAAATCCCTAGGGTTCAGATCCAAAAAACCGATTGTATCGAGAATCAAGAGGCAACCGCTTGCGTTCATCTTCTTCTCCAGCGACCTGTTCTCCCCTGAAATTACCCCCAAATCCCGCTAGAGATTCGGAATTCGTGCCTCCTTGCCGTCGATCTGGCCCCCCATCAGTGCCTACTGCTCGTGGATTTCGGCCAGCATCAGTGTCGCTTGCGGCAGCGAGGAGTCTAACGGCTGACTGTACGGCAGCGTTGTCGTACGGGAACTGCTCAACCTCACCAAGTTTCTTATCGGCGAACCTCCAGAGCAAGTACATTTTTTAAATGATAAGTTAGTTTTCTTATGTTCATTTTTTATTCATCGTTTGATTCTTTGCTTTCCTTTTCCGTTGTTTTGGGCTAGTGTTCTTCATTTTTTGGTTGTGAACATCGCTTCTTCTTTACAACTTCACTGGAATAAGTTCGATCAGGTTGAATTCATTATGCTCTTTGCCGATTTTCCTGTACAATTGTGGAATTCCGCTTTACAGGACTTAGCCCCATGTGTGATGCCTCAAACTTTTTATTTTTATTTTTTATTTTCTGTTCGAATATCATAGTCCAACGATTTATTGTCCAACTTCACATAGTACTAGCTGATAAAAATACGAATTGAGCTCATCAAGTGAAAGTCAGGTATGTATTTGAAGGTTGATCGTTGGCCAATATTGCTTGTATGTTGCTGACATCTTCTTTTTGCTAACTGCAGGAGTATTTTGTTTTCAACAAACATTTTTTTTTGGGTTCAAATATTAGTCACTGGTTCTCTTCTTCTTTTTTCCCTTTTATTTTTTGGTTTGTTCTACTACTTTTAGATGCATTTAAGTAGTAAATACTTAACTGTTACTTACATAGTAGACTTAGTAGTTGCATATAATTCTTGTTTTGTTTCCAATTCATGATATTTTATTGTGTCATGTGTCTAGAGAGACATGTCTGCTTGTAATACCACTGAAGGATCAGATTATATGCCTCCACCATCAGAAAGTATGCTTAGTCTCAATAATTATTGTTTTTTTTTTTTCTTCAATTTATTAGTATTTTGTTTTAATGAGTATATCTGGCATTTAATCAAGCCACGGTTTTAGGAAGACTACTTTTTGAGATGTATTTATCAGACTATTCTAATCAAACTACCTATGCAATTGATACTGACATGATGATGATGGTGTCCTAAGAGAATATTGACATAGATAATCTAAATGTTGAACAGAATGGTTGGTGAATTGTATAGTGTATTCACTATTGAAAATTTTCATGATTGGAGGAAATCATTGCAAGGAGTTATAATTTATTTTTTAGGAGACGGTGATACTGATGAACTGGAAGATAGTTGATGGATCCTTGATGGCCTCGATTTATGGAAGAATTTTAGTGAATGTACTATTTGAGTTCTCTATCTCGGTCTTTTGGTTCATTATACATTATTGTCTTGGATATCACTGAGCATAATTCTTATGCATCTTTGTTCCCATGAACTTATTCTATTATTTAGTTGCTGCCTCATCTCGATCAATGACCTGTGCCTGTAAATTTAGTTACTTTGGAAACCTTTGCCATCGATATATCTTCTGCTTCTGCCAGTGATAGGAAAAAGAAAAAGGACATATAATTTTAACCGTTCAAGATGCTAGCTTGTCCCTTATGAATCTGCATGATCTTTTGTTATGGTAGAATAAGGGTTTGCTTTGGTTCTGTATGATTTTTACAAATAGATGAACACTTTGACAACTAAGGGGATGATTGTATATGAATTGAATAGTAAAAAAACCAATCAAAACTCAAATTTAACTCAACTTTAACTCAACCCCACTATCATAAATATTATCAATATAATTAAATAATATCAACCAATCATTTTTACATATCACATCAACTTTAATTCACTATTCATCCACTCACATAACTCTAACTAACTATTACTTTCAACAATTTTTCTCCCACTTTACATCAAATCAACTTTAATTATTTTATTTAAATATTATTTTAATATATCCATTAATAACTATTTAAAATTTACTATAGTTAAAACATAAACCAAATAAAAACTAGTTCAATCCATAAACAATCACCCCCTAAGTTATTCATAAAACACTCTTTCTTAACTAATTCACATTTTCATTATTCATAAAACACTCTTTCTTAACTAATTCACATTTTCATTACAGTGCATGGTAATTTGTGATTTTGTGTATACGTGAATGACGGGAGGCCATTTTGGCAGTACATTGTCAGTTTACTACCCGTTGTTCATGATTAAATATTTTGAAGAGCTCCACAGGTACTATACCACTGAAAAGGTGGGCTGGCAAGAGGCTTTTGTTGTGTCTATAAGATTATCAATGTCATTGAAAAGAAGACACTTTTAATATCTTTTATATGAATATAAGACGACCTATATTTTTATGTTATCTTCTCTTGCATGTATAGTACGAAAATTACACATAAAGTTTGGTCTGTGTACTATTGGACACGTACTGATTCAGAAACACAAAATGGTTCTCTTATAATAATTTATTTAGTTGTATTAGTTTATAGAAATTGGAAAAATGTACTTATTAACATCATGGATTGTTGCCATTTAATTTTAGAAGTGCAAAAAGATTACATAATCTTTATGTTTACATAAAAATTATTGATAAGATATTCTATATGGACTAATAAAGCACATTTTATTGCCTCATTTATTAGATAAATCATGATATATTAATATAAACAAATTATAAAACATTACTACAGTGGGCCGGCTGTGCATAACACAACCGGAGGTTGCTAGAATATATAT